AGCTCCATATTCAGCAAGCTGCTACACAGTTTTGACACCTTTCTATCATAGCTAGCGTCAAAGTTTTCAACAATTCGTGCTTCAGTAGCTCTTCTAAGCGATTGTGCCTCAACCGCAGTATGTCTTTGGACTACTTTTTAAAAAGTACTAACTAGAGGTGATGACTAATCATTTATCTATTACTTGCAATTAACAATTTAACTGCTTTCAAATCTATTAACTGACAAAAGCAGAAAATGTATTGTACATTAGTTGTCATACCAGGTTGTTCCACCAGGTGGAGCCTCTAAATGTTTCATCGCGATCTGGGGTGGCAGTCGCTCAGACTTCCATCAGTTCCGTGTTGGCAAGAAGAGAGCATTGTGGGAGTTTAGCTAGTAAAGTACAACAAGGAGAAAGTGGCCTGTGTTGGTAAATATTAACCGGCCAGAGCTTTTATACTAAAAGTCAAACAGAACCGCACTAATTTAACATCGCTTCAAGCTAGGGGCTAATTTATAGTGCAAGTTGAGAGGCCTATATCACATGACCCACCACCCCGGCAGCACGTCACATGACCACAATCAGGACATATAATGACGTCTACTGGGTTCATTTTGTGTTATTGAAAAACTGCCTGTTGATTGTTAAAGCTGTAAACTACAGGTTAAGGACATTATTAAAAATTTGCATCCCGAGAACTAACCACTGCAAACTGGGAACACCCCACAAGTGCGGTTGTTTTGGAGATGCTTTGATTTAGTCGTCACAGTTTGGTCCCTCTCAAAGTCCGTTAGATCCTTACTCTGGGTCATTTTCCTGCCTCCAACATGTCAACTTTAAGAACTGACTGTTCACTTGTGGCCTAACTTATCCCAACTCTTGACTGGTGCCACTGCATTAAGATATTCAACCTTATTTACGTCACCTGTCAGTGGTTTAAATGTTGTGGCTGATTGGTGCAAGTTGTCATAAACTGACTGGAGTGGAGGCTTGCAAATAAATCTGTCTGACTCTGAAGTGACAACAGCTCTGTCTAGTCTGGGTAAAAGTGGCAACAGAAACATCTGACTAAAATAAAACAACTACCTCTGCTTTGGCTCAGAGTGAAGTCACCCTGTCAGAACGCTCAGGTTGGGAGGATTAAAGAGGCAGCGCACACAAACTCAAAGCAGGCTTGTAACCGGACCAATCTCAGCTTTGAGCGTTGGCCCGTTTCTCACGGAGCGAAGCCTCGTGAACTCAGCAGCACCAAACTGCGCTAACTCAACATGGCAATGGAATGAAACCGTAGCCGGCGAAGCTCTCAATGCCAGCGAAACAGCAGACCTGGGGAATGCACAGTTATTATTAACACCAGCATGTCGGTGGTGAAATGACGCTCTTGCATAGCATCAGGCACGAGCCGCAGCGATCAGGAATAGCCGGACGCAGCAAGAAGACTCGTCCGTGGTGAAATATCATTGTGAACATCGACGACGCAGACAGAAACACACACACACACGGGGCTGCATGTGGACGCAAGGGACTGGAAAGTTGAGCTGAATGCGTTAACCTTTTGCATAAAAATAGTCTTCATTGTCGCCACAGGCAGTCAATCAACAATAAAACATCTTTTCTTTTTTTTAGGTAGCAATAGTGGAGAAATTAAAACAGATGCAGCAAAGGTCAAAGGCAATACATATTCGGTTTCTTATCCCCAAAACCAAAATGCTTTAGGAAGATTTAAACTTAAAGGAGGTAGTTCACACTTTCACCAAGCTCCTAATTAGGTTTGCATTTAAAAGTAAAGAGATTCCTTTACTTAAGAACTATAATCTACGGATGCAACTGACAAATACTTTTATGACTGAAATCTGTTCATAATTTTTTTCAGTTAATGATTTGTGAGACTTCAAATGGCTTTTTCTATCTGGCCAACAGCCAAATATTACAAAAATATTCCATTTACTATGATGTAAAACCGAAAAAATCTCCCATTTGAGAAGCTGTGTGGCTTTTGTGCTTGATAAACAACTTACATTATTAGCAAAATAGTTGGCAACAAATTTTCCCCGGACGTTAACTGAAGGTTCATCCATCACATGTCTCAGTAATCTGAGCAATGCCAGTAAATATAGGTTGTCTCATTTATGAGGTACTTCTACCAGTGATCAGCCACCACCTGGAGGTGACACTTCCTAAAACTACCTCCCCGGTTGATCACAGAGTTAGGTATCGGCCGGTTTTCTGTAATCGTGCCTCTAAAGAAAACAATCTAAATCATTCTCGGGGATGGTGTCATTCACCGTGGCTCTTTACTGACAAGGAAACCCCCCCCTCCCCCGGAGAACAGCTGTGAAAAACAGCGAGTCACAGTCTGTCAAAACCATAACAAACCTCTCTTACGTCAGTCTCTGACAGGCTTTCCCTCCGGGCAGTTGTGCAGCAAGTTGAGACAATGAAACTGTGGCACCATGTCCCGCCACCTGCTTTCTCGGTTTCACCTGATTCATCGCACCATTTCTACTGTAATATGGACACCTGACAATTATAGAGCTGTGTTATTTATAAACGCCATGTTGCTACAGGGCTAAATCCATGGCTGGTTACCTCTGAAGCCACAGTGCTGCTGAAATTCACATATTAAAGCATATGTGGGGACAATATTTGATCAAATTCCTGCCCTAATAGGTTCAGGGCTTACTGATGAAATACAGAAAGTACTGATTTTTAAATTTTTTGTAATCTACAGCCAAATAAAAAGCTTTACACAAAGGGCTACCGGATCGCCGAGTGGTTCCAGTGCATGCCACATGTGCGATGATGCCGAATGGCAAGTCTCTGGTTTGAATCCTAACCGGCTGCAAGTCTTTTCCTGTGCTTATCCCTTGTATTTCCTGCCCGTCTCCACTATCTCTGTCAATCAAGGCACAAAAATGCCCAAAAACAAATCTAGAAATAAAAAAAGTCACTTAAAACAAATGGTAAATGGTCTGCACTTACATAGTGCTTTTATCCAAAGCGCTGTACAATGTGTTTCTCATTCACACACACATTCATACACCAATGGTGACAGAGCCGCCATGCTGCCTGCCACTGGGAGCAACTTCAGGTTCAGTGTCTTGGCCAAGGACACTTTAACTGTGGAGGGGCGGGGGATTGAACCACCAGCCTTACGATCAGAGGACAACCGTTCTACCACCTGAGCCACAGCCGCCCTAAAACAAGACTATGTTAGTTAGAATTTGCATAAAAATGGTAAGAAAACTGATTTTGTACATGCTCTGGCATCTGATTACCTACATTCTTCAAAGCACACAGCACAAAAACTTAAAAAAAAAGAAATATATTATGAAGAGCAGTCCTACATCTTTCATGCTGTGAGAATAAACTTGTTCTGCAATACTTCAATCTATTTTAGGAACACAAATATGTCAGTATTTCCAACAATGTCTCTTTCCAAAAAAGTCCACATGCTGTGAAGTTTCTGCTGTAGCACCGAATAATATAAAAGTAGAAGTATGTGGTCTTAGTTCTTGTCAAGTCTTCGTCTTGAGTTTGAAAACAGCTGACAGATCAAATAAACAGTGATAGCTTGACGTTTGTCAGTGTGTTGTTTTTGTCAGAGGGTGAGTTTTAATTTGGAACTCATGCAGTGCACATAAAGAAACACCAACAACTAGCGGGTGAGATGAGATGCAGACCAGAAGCCCTTGCTGCAGTTCGGGTGAACCTCAAACCACCTCCAACTCCACCAAAGTCAGCAACACAGTTTGTTTTGCCGTCCTGAAGTAATACACTTGCATCTTTCCAACCAATATGGAAACTGAGAAATGTGTTTTCCGCCGCTGTCAACCAGTGAGCGACTCTTTTAAGCTACAACCACATCAGAAGAGGAAAATTCACGAGTAGGTCTCGACAGGACCTTGTAGGTTTACACGCAGACCCATTTCAAAGGAAGAGAGAGCTCTGTGCACCTTCCAGCTTCTAAACAATTTGGCTTCGCCTGTAACCTAACAGAAGAGCAGTGCAAACAGTTGACAGCGAGACATACAGAGCGGCGATAACTTTGTGTTTTCATTCGGAGTCAGCAACGCGCTGTCATGACTTTGCAAGTTTGAGGAGAAAAACCGACAGATGTACGGAGGGGGGAGGTTCAGAAAACAGAAAATAAACCTGGTGATGACAGGGAATAGCCGAGATGATGCAAGAAAAGGGAAAGAGAGGGACAGTCAAAAAGGAACTGATACAGGTCAGTCCTGCTGACCAAGGACATTAACATTAAAACGTTTCCCATCTCGACAGTTTCAACTAATCTTCGTGAGAATGCAGTTGCATTTCGTGGAAAAAAAAAAGGAGAGAAATCTGACATGCAAGCATCAAAAAAACAGCTGCAGGCGGTCTTCTGCTCGGCAAGAATGAGGCATCTTTACTGTTAGGCAGAATGAGGAACAAATAGAAGAGGTTGGCAGCAGCACACATCTGACATGATGCTTCCCTGGTATTCAACCTGCACCCTGCAAGCTGTGAGCACTCCCCTTCAAACTAAGACACGCAACCCAGGGATCAAATTACTGTAGAAACGGATGAAAAATCAACAACTTCTTCAAATTCACTGTGGGAAAAAGTCATTATGGGGAACTTGGGTAACAGTCTTATTGAAAAAAAACATACTTCAGACATGTGAACAGCCGCAGAGGATAAAGACAGCAGTTTCAATTGCTCAAAAAAAAATAATCTGCAGCAATGACTTGGGATCGACAACACATCCATACTTCTTTGAGTTAATTCAATCTAGCAGGGACATGTAACAGATAAATCCTGCAAAGATTTCGGTTGCTTTTAACCGTTCGATTTCATATTAATATGAATAGTTTGTGGTTTTGGCTGCAGATCAGACTAAACTGGCAACTTGTCAACAACTTTCTGTGCAACCTAAGGCACACATACAGATGAAACCTAGCATGTCAGTATGGGAAAGGGTGTATTGGAAGAGGTTTTTAATGAGGGTTAAAAGAGTGTAGCAATCGTAGGGATACCTTTCGTAAAGCTTGCACGAAGAGGCCTCTCCATTTGTGACTGTTCTCGTCACTCGAAAAGTCGTATATCTGCTGGGGCTGCATTGCTGTAGCGGCTCCTGGCGTTGCCGTGATCCGGGCTGAACTGTCAGCATCGGCCCCGGATAGATAGTCCTTATGGGTGGGTCAGTCCAGGGCAGGCACGGTGGAAAATAAAAAAAGTCAAACCGGCTCGCTTGCAAATGTGACGAGTAACAACAAACCACAGTGGACTCGAGTCGGGTTAAACAGCGAAAAATGAGCTACAAAAGAAAATAAGCACATGTAGCAATAAAGTTAACTCGTTAGCTTGAATGCTAATGTGGCTAGCCCCGCTGCTGCTGCTGTTGTAAACACGGGGCAGCGACGGCTAACTGAAAAGCTAACGGCTAATAACAATGTTGCTAAGTGTGATACTTGCTACTTGGCGTTTGCTAAAAAGCTTACAACAGGCACGTTTAGTTCAGTGTTAAGTCAAGACTTGGGAGCCCAGCTTGTCGCCGGCTAACTACAGCTACAAGTTACGTTTGGTTTATTTGCTGCCTAAACACCTGTAACGTTAGCGAGCTAGCGTTAGCCCGACGAGCTAGCTGCTGCTACAGGCTGCTGCTGGCCTCGATGCGCTCCGGAGTTCTATGTTGTGGCACACGACCCGTTCGGCTCCAAACAAGGCACACTTTCTCCTGCGCTGCTCGCTTCGCATTTAGTCATCTTCTCCGCGGCGATCGCACGCTAAATCCAGCGAGTATTCCCAAAAAAACAGCGAGCGGTCCGAGGCATATCTGTGCGCGGAGCAGCTGAGGAGCAGCCGAGGTGTTTTTGGTTTGAGAAGTCGAAGATGTTCGTACCAACTCCGCTGCCTGTCTGCCGCCGCTGCTGCTGCTGCCACCGCCGCCGCCGCTGCTGCTGCTGCTCGGTGCGCCGCGCGTCCTGTCAGGCACGCTGCGTAATTTCACATTTTATTGGACAGAAGGAGAAAAAAAAAAAAAAAAAAAGGCTGGACTTCTGTCTCAGCACATCACACACCGTAATAATAGGAAAGACCTTTTCAATGTAACATTTAAAAAACAAACAAACAAAATTCATCTGTTTATAAAATGCTTTCCAGCAAAAACAGGTTTAGAACATTTCGTAGTAATAAAAATGCAAATGGAATCAATAATTAATATTCAAGTTAAGTCTCTGCAGTATTACTACAGTATTATTATTACTTATTTAAATTTGCCTGACAAATGTGAGAATTAAGGTTAGGACCCAACAATATTATCTAAATGAAAATTTAATCAGCAAATTTAAATATTAAGGCTGAGACCCTACAATATAATATATAAAATACATGTTTACCAGGGTAATTTACATATTAAGGTTTGGACCCTACAATATAATAAAAGACCCTACAATATTGTTGATTACATAAACTTACCAGACTATTTGAAAAAATGAAGGGTAAAACTGTACAATGTTATACAAACTATACATTTAAATTATATTATGTAATTAATGCTAATATGAAATTTAAATATTTTTTTGCAAATGTACCTGATAAATGTTATTGTTATGGTTAAAACCCTATATTTTAAAAAATATATAAATAATAATAATAATACCCTCATAATAAGACCATTAATTATGCAGATGTATACTTGTCTAATTTAAATATTAAAGTAAAAACTCGACAGTATGATACAGAATACAAATTCACCAGATTAAATTACATATTAAAATACAATATTAGTAATTATGTAAATGTGCTGATTTAATCAAATACTGAGATTAAAACTATGCAATATCGTTTAAGGTATATATTTAAATGACTGAGTTGATAATTAAGGTTAAGACCCTACAGTATTACATAAAATATAAATTCATTTCATGAAATTAAATTATTATTATAGTCAGTACCCTAAATAAATTACTACACTTAATAATAAAGACCCAACAACAATATTAATAATGCAGATTTACTAGACCAAGTTAAATAAGGTTAAGAACCATGAAATATTGTATTGAACAAATTACCTAACTAAATTCCATTAAATATTAAAGTGAATACGCTACAATATTACATAAAATACAAATTTACACAACTAATTTAAATATTAAAGTTAAGACCATTCAATCTGGTGAAAGTGGAGAAAAGTAAAAAAAAAGGTACTAATAGTTAAAAAATAAACAATAACCCTTTATTTATTGACTTTCGTGTTGTATCTGAATAATATTGAAAACATTACTCAATATATTTCAACAAAGTAGACCACATTTATGCATAAAAAAATCGGTTTTATTTTTATGCCACTGTACAAGCATCATCAGTAAAAACATTAAGGACAAGTGGTTTCACCCTCAGCATGTCATTCCTACATATTTTGCACTTCACTGGGCTCAGACATCATGTTTGCTGCTGATTCTGCCTCCTTGTGGACAAACTGTACAAATGCTCCACTTAGGAACAGACGGAGCTGCTGCAGGCAGCTGCTGTTGAAACTACACCAAAACTTGTAGTGTAAAAAAAAAACAACTTTAAAAACATTAACAGTGATTTTAAAGTAGATTTTTTTCCAGACTATTTCCTTCCTCCCTGCTCTTTGGATATTTGCAGTTGTGCCAAATATCTGCATTACTACACTAGATGAACATACAAGTCCAAAAATCATATGGCACAATGCACTAATGTTACTGCATTCTATTTAAAAATATATATTTATGGAAAAAAAATACTTTAACATTCATCTGTCAATAAATGGGACGAAATAACAACAAGAGACTCATTTTATGGGAACGTTATCTGAACAATTGAAGCCTCTGAAGCAATAAAAAAAGAGAAAATTAGAGCAAAAAATTACAAAAAATCGTTGCTCCACAAATTTGTCTTAATGTAAATACAAGACTAAACTATTTAGTCTTGATATAATTTGTAGAATAACCCGTCTTTCTTAGATAATTGTGCGTTTTGTAGCGACAAATGTGCATTACATGACGAGTTTCATTACCCAGAGATCCCCAAGTTCATGGAGAAAAAACCCCAAAACATAATTAATGATATAATGTAAGGGCTGTATAAACTATTTGTTTTTAAATACTGTCTAAAAACTTAAGTTTTTCCCCCCAAAAATATGGATTTCCAGCATTGTGGGAGTCAAACTAGACAATATTGAGATGACAAACTGCTCTCAGTGGCTGAACAATTTAAAAATAAAAGATAAAAATCAGGACCAAGAATGCTTCATTTAAAATGCAAGTTCACATTCAGTATATTATGTTTGCGTGGTTCAATATTCTGATTTTAATGTCCCAAACTGATGAAAATGTCATTGAAGTTCATAGTTGTACTTTCACACAGAATATCCTGTGATGTACTTTATGTTTAGACAGAAATGTAGTGCATAAAAATCAAGTTTCACTGTGAAATGTGGTGGAGTAAACATGTTATGCATCAGAAATAGCACCGCTGAAGTCAAAACTGTCTTAAATATGTAATTAGACGATGTTATGTCGCCTCCTCCTGTTGAATTAAGGCCTGATGTTTGATAATTTTAAAAAAGTGTTGGTGATGCCGAGGGAGCTTGATGCAACGTTGTAGTTTCCACATGGTAGTTTTTCTGTTTTTTGGTTTCTCGTCTGTGATCTCTACAGCCTGAAGCGACTCTCCACCTCGTCCGCAATCATTTCACCGATGGCGAGGGAGGAGGTTGCCGCCGGCGACGGAGCATTTCTCACGTGTAGCACCCGGCTGGCCACGTCGCCGACACCGCCGTCAAACACAAAGTCGTCCACCAGGTTTCCGTCACGGTCGAGGGCCTGAGCTCGGACTCCTGCAGGGCCTCTGCAGAGGAAACAGGCGGAGTTACGCAAAACTGTACTGATTCATAACTTTAATATGATGTATGATGTGTATTATTGTGCATAATTTGTCTACCTGAGCACGTCGCTCAGGGAGAGTTCAGGGATGTACTTCTGCAGGATTTTAACCTGTGCACCAATGAAAATCCCTCTGTACATTTCTCCCATCCCGTACGTCATGTTCCTCAGTACGAGCTTCTGAAGGCCTCTGCAGCACAAAAAGACAGAAGACTAAATATCAGCATCACAAAGAAAGCAACAACTACACTTCCTTTTACACATTACAAATAAAAACAGACACACCATCCTACCACTGAATGAAT